AATGATATGAAAACAAAATTTTTCACGAAATTTCTGAAAATTCGAAAAATGCAAATAAAGTGCGTATTTCAAAGCAAAATTACGTGTGAAATCTCCAATTCTCTTTATTTCTTAGGAAAACTCAAGATCGAAACCTTATGACTTTAATTAAAAGTATTTAATCACTTCCAAGAGGGAAAAAAAGTAAATTAATCTGATGCATAAGGAAAACACAGTGAAAGATGGACGAAGTTTGTAAAGAAGCCGTAATAACCTTTTCGATTTAAGAATTTTCAATGAAAGTTTGTAAGTTTAAAGTCCTTGTTTTAGTTCTCTTTTTTTTTCCGAAGTTAAATAATATGGTAGATAGCGAGAAGTTCGACAACAAATCGTGGCTTAACTATTGGGAGTTTTGATGAAAAGAGTTCCATTATGTAAAGCACACATCAAGGGCATCTTTTTAGTCCAATAATATGAAAACAACATTTCTCACGATATTTTTGAAACTACCAAGCGGTTATAGCTGTTGTAATATTAAAAAATGCAAATCGTGCGTATTTTAAGTTGAAGAACTTTAAGAGAAGGTTCGATAAATATTTGTATGATAAAGGTTGATTTTGAGTGTGTTTTTTATTTTATTGTAACTTTAGTTAGGTGGAGGGAACGGCCAAGTGTATTATTGTCTTTAAACTATACAGCTTTAGGTATTGTTACGTATGTGCTTGTTTGTTAATTTCCCGTAGAAATTTTTTCCGAGAAACTTCAGCGATACAAGTCCTTTCTTAATTAAAACTAGTTTATTCTTTTTCGATTCAAATTTGCAATACACAGAATTTCCACAGTCACTTTAACTTAACTACTTTTATAAACATACGCTATAATTCACAGCGATTTACACACTTTATTTACGGTGCCTACTGTTCGCTTGACTCAATTATATCTCTCTTCAATCTATCTCCGGCTTATATACTAAAAAAGAGAGCGTTTAGCAAACGCTGGAACGTTCGTGAGGTTCCCCGATAAGTCACGATCCTTCTAGAAACTCCAGCGCGCATGCTCCCAGAATCGCGTGACTTCCGCTGTCGTAACAGTATACTAAGTTAGAGTTGCTAAAAACATATTTACTACCATTAACTATTTAGTTAGTACTTTTATCTCATTGGTAGAGCAATAGCCTGGCATGCGAATATTACCGAGCTCATATCCCCTAGTGGTCATGGAAGGCACTAATTTTGAAATTATCATAATATTAAAATTTTGCTATTTTCATTTAAAATTTTTGTAAATCATATGGTTTCGTTAAGTTTATCATCGACCGTACATGTCTTCCAAACAAAATTTCAAAAAAGGATTTCAGAAACCTTCTTGTGTACTATATTTTGAATATGACTCTTTTTTTTTTTCTTTCTTAGGTATTTGATTAATGATAATTGTAACTCACGGCAATGAAAAGCTATTTCCTAGACTATGTCTATCTTTAGGTGTAACCGAGGTAAAAAGTCGG